CCGAATACCCCTCGAGCAAACAGTATAGAAACCTCAGGCATGCGAAAATAGGTTGAGGAGAAAAATAAGAGTAAGCTAGTACAGGGAGGAGGGTGCGGAGAGCTGGATTAAATCAGGTGAGGAGAAAGTAGTCGAAGTATAAGGTATGGTATTGTTAATAAAACGAATATGGGAGGGGACCTGTTCTAGGGAAAGTTGTAGATATAATTACCACCAAGGACTGTCGATCTTTTTTCCTTAGGCTGATTCGGGGAAGCCTTTGTCCCACACTTCATCAAGCCCTTTTTCGAAGAGTTCCAGCGTGGATACCGAGACAATCTCATCAGGAAGTCTGTTCCAGGCGTTAACGACTCTATGAGAGAAGTAGTTCGCTCTTTCTCTATCTAACGCCCGAGGTTTGGCCAGCTTCAGCTGTTGTCCTCTTAAGGCTGGGTTTTCACTGGGGTAGAACAGTTCTCTGCTAGGCAGTGAGAGTCCTTTCAGTATCTTGAAAACCTCTGTTAGGTCACCTCGCATTCACCTATGGGCTAGGGAGAACAAGTTTAGCTCTCTCAGGCTGTATTGATCGATCTGTGAAAATCCTTCCTGTAAAGCCCAGTCATTCCATCTCGGTTCGAAATAAAGGCACAAAGGCTGTAGAGAATAGGTAGTTAGGGTGAGAATTGGTACTCCCCTGAATTTCCCTTTGACCCTTGTGACGCGAGGAAGGATTTTGCCGGGCGGTGTATTGATCGATCTGTGAAAATTCTCCCTGTAAAGCCCAGTCATTCCATCTCGGTTCCACATTTCGTGAATTTTACCTTCCATTCACCAAACCTCATCCGCCTCACATACATATAGACATTTGACGTTCCACTCCCCTTATATATTTACACATCATTCCTACCATTTGACTTTGTTTGTTTATCTGCTTCAATTTTTATCCTACTTGTTTTAATCGCAACTTGAGCGCTCACATTTGGCTCGTTCGTGTGCAGCGTGACGGTGAGCGTGCTATTCTTACACAGGCTCATTTTCTTCCATTCAGATTTGTTGAATTACGCTCACAGTAACACTTGGCTCTTGTTTTTAAGTTGTTTTGAGATCACTTTGAGGTTTGTGCAATTTTTATTTGCTTATTCGATCGTTTAATAATGCAGTATCGCAGAAATTTGCCGGATCGTTCGTTTTGTTGACGCTTTGGGATCCAATTTCGGCTACGCGTCGTTCGTTGATCTATTTGGCGCCTCGTGTACGGCATCGTCCTCAAGGCAGGAAAAAGCCTAGTGAAGCGTCTCTGTACTTGTTCTAGAGCCTTCTAGTCACGTACAAGTATTGGTGCCCACGCCTGCACGCAATACTCGAGGTGGGGTCTCACCAGGGCCTTGTAGAGGGGCAGTAACACTGTAGGGTCCCTGGATGCTACTGTTCTCCTTAGCAAGAACAGTGCCTTGGAAGCCTTCGCTGAGGCCTGCTGACACTGTCTTGTAGACAGGAATGAACTGTGGATGACGACACCCAGGTCCCTAACCTCGTCAGTCGTTTCTACTACTGTGGGCCCCGTACCGTTTAACACCCTCGTCTCCGTGAGAGATCCCCCTAGGAGAAGCTGTTTGCACTTATTCGCGTTTAGTGGTAACAGCCACTCCTCCGTCCACTTCTGGACTTCGTCCAGATCGGCCTGCATGGCGTTAGTAGACGGGTCACCGACAATTTTGACATCGTCAGCAAACAGGAAGGAGGGGTGTATTATCCTCTTGGTCAGATCGTCTATGTAGATGAGGAATAAGAGAGGACCTAGCACGGACCCTTGGGGCACGCCACTGCAGGCTGCTCCCCGAGTGGACATCTCACCCTCTACCCTTACATAGAAAGTCCGGCCGAGAAGGTACTCTGTGACCCATCTGACGATCTGGTCGGACAAACGGAATGTCTTCAATTTTTCGATCAACAGTCGGTGGTTGACTGAGTCGAATGCCTTTTGGAAGTCTAGGTAACAGACTTCCACACGCTCCCCTCGGTCAAGCCTCTGAGTGATCTCATCCATGAAGTCTAGCAAGTTTGACAAGCAAGACTTCTTCTGCACAAAACCGTGCTGGTTGGGCGATATCAAGCCCTGTCCCAGTACGTGTTCTGCGATGTGATCCCTCAGGATTTTTTCCATGATCTTAAGTGGAATAGACAGCAAGCTGACCGGTCGGTAGTTTCCTACACAGTTTCTGGATCCTCCCTTGTGTATGGGCACTACCTCTGCTACCTTCCAGTCTGCTGGTAGTTGACCGTGACTTAGGGATAGGTTAAACAAATGAGCCAGCGGGTGGGCCAGGACCGTTGCCAGGGGTTTCAAGATGGCTGGGTGGATGCCATCCACCCCTGCCGATTTGCCAGTGTTGAGACGCCTCAGATGGTCCTCAACTTCCTGTGGGAGTATTTCAAACTCGGCCATACCTGGGATGGGCCTCGGAGTAGGGTGCCCCCCGGGTGCCCCATTATCCCTTACGTGAGCTGCTTCGAAGAAGCGTCTGAAGGTCTCGGCTTTCTCTGAGCTGGCTAGTATTGGTTGGTCGTTTGCGCCCTTGAGGGTGCCTATCGTCGTACGCAACTTTGAGTTGGCTTGTACGTAATTGAAAAACGCCTTGGGGCATTCCTTGATCCGCCGCGCCAGCCTCATTTCATAGGCCTTACGACAGGCTGTCTGGGCATTGATCGCCCTATCTCTTTCCCTGACGTACTGGAGATACCTATGGTGGCTACGGGTCCTGAGGTACTGCCTCCAAGCTTTGCGCTTTCGGGCTTGTGCCTTTGATAACCTGCTCGACCACCAGGGAAGCTTGCCGTTTCTGCGAATCCTCCTTAGTGGAGCAAACTCGGAAGTGAGCACTGAGAGGTTTGACTTGATGGCGCTCCACAGCCCCTCTAGAGTGTCAGGCTGGGCCTCCCAGTGTAGCTCAGTGGCTCTTGCAACTAGGGAGTTGCTGCTTATTTTGTTGAAGGCTCTCCTCCATTTTATGAAAGGGTTAGGACCATTTTCCTGGAGGTAAAAACGTAGGATTACGTGGTCACTCCTGCCTAGGGGTGGGGAGGTTGCTAGACCGGTCACGTCGTTGGGATACTTGCTGAGGACTANCCATTATCCCTTACGTGAACTGCTTCGAAGAAGCGTCTGAAGGTCTCGGCCTTCTCCGAGCTGGCTAGTATTGGTTGGTCGTTCGCGCCCTTGAGGGTGCATATCGTCGTACGCCTCTTTGAGTTGGCTTGTACGTAATTGAAAAAAGCCTTGGGGTATTCCTTGATCCGCCGCTCCAGCCTCACTTCGTAGGCCTTACGACAGGCCGTCTGGGCACTGATCGTCCTATCTCTTTCCCTGACATACTGGAGATGCCTATGGTGGCCACGGGTCCTGAGGTACTGCCACCAAGCTTTGCGCTTTGTGCCTTTGATACCCAGCTTGACCACCAGGGAAGCTTGCCGTTTCTGCGAATCCTCCTTAACGGAACAA